AAGAAAAATTTCAAAAGTTGGCGGGAAAAAAAAAAATAATAAAAATAATAATAATAATCAGAACAAATACAATAGGTCTTTCCACAGAAAAGTGGAAAACTAATAATCAGAAGAAAACCAATAGGTCTTTCCACAGAAAAGTGGAAAGACCTAATAATAATCAGAAGAAAACCAATAGGTCTTTCCACAGAAAAGTGGAAAGACCTAATAATTAAAAACCAATTGTTCAAAGAACAATTGAAGGTCTTTCCACATCAATTTTCTAAATAATTGATAGGAAGCTACTTCTGGTTTACTCAAAGTTATAAATAGCGTCAAAGTATAGATTCAATAAATAAATGGTTTCTATATACTTTTGCCTGAAAACAGGGAGATAATTGTCAACTTCCGGTTTAGAAAATGACACTTTCGGTCTCATATTATAGCTTTATTCACACTAATTCCAAAAATATATAGTTTGTATATACTTATGCCTGTAATAAGGGAGATAATATGCTACTTGCGGTTTATAAAATGTCACTTCCGGTCTCAAATGATAGGTTAACCTATGATCATTCAAAAAATATATGGTTTCTAGGTACTTTTCCATGAAATAAGTGCAAAAAATTCTTCCGGTTCACTTTTTTCAAGGTCATATGTCAACCAACAGTTTGCAAAAGACCCTATGTCTTTATCATGTTCCAAGATTGAGTAATAATCAATTAACCTTAAATTGAATCATTTCAGGGACAATAACTCCTATAAGATATCATTGGATTGTTTCAGACCAAATGTATCATATCTTAATCACAATTAAGCAAACATTTTGCACTAGTTCTTTAATTTGTAATTTTAAAAGTGACAAAGGAGATCAAATAACAAGGAAAAGTCAAAATTTAGAATATGACCTTGACATATGACCTTGGCCTTAATTTCATTTAAATGAACCAAGGAACTCAAATCAATATACCTTAGGTCTCTATCACTTACCATTCATGCTATACATTTATATATCCCTTATGTCAAATACAGAAGGGGAAATAACTCTCATATGGAGTTTACGTATTGCTTCGGTCAAAAATGGACAAAACATCCTGAGGATATAACGAGCAATTTGGTAAAATAATTTTGTCGCTTTCTTTTACGGTTACGGAGGAGATGCACACACAAGGAAAACAGTGTTCAGGGAGATAACTCCTACAAAGAAAAGTATTCCTTAAGCAGGGTCAATTTCAAAGGCGCATAAACTGTTCGATATCATATACGAAACATCTAAGCGACATCTTGCGAAACAAATATTTATCGCAAGAATAAAATTTGGCGGAAGAAAAAAAAAATTAAAAAAAAATTGTTCAAAGAACAATTGAAGGTATTATTACAACAATTTTCTAAATAATTGATGAGAAGTTAATTCTGGTTTACTCAAAGCTTCTATTGGCGTCCAATCATAGGTTTCTTCATACTGATTCAATAAACATATGGTTTCTATAGACTTTTGCCTGAAATAAGGGAGATCATTGGCTACTTCCGGTTTAGAAAATGTCACTTCCGGTCGCATATGAATGATTTATTTACATTCACCTCAGATATCCAAAAATATATGGTTTATATATACTTTTGCCTGTAAAAAGGGAGATAATTGGCTACTTCCGGTTTAGAAAATGTCACTTTCGGTCTTATATGATAGCTTTATTTACACTGATTCCAAAAAAATATGGTTTATATATACTTATGCCTGTAATAAGGGAGATAATATGCTACTTCCGGTTTATAAAATATCACTTCCAGTCTCAAATGATAGATTAAAGTATGACCATTCAAAAAATATATGGTTTCTATGTACTTCTACATGAAATAAGTGCAAAAATGACTACTTCCGGTTCACTCAAGGTCACTTTCTGTTGCAATTTTTCAAGGTCATATGTCACCCAACATTTTGCAAAAGATCTTATGGCTTTATCATGTACCAAGTTGGAGTAATAATCAATTAACCTTAAATTGAATCATTTCAGGGACAATAACTCATATAAGATATCATTGGATTATTTCAGACCAAATGTATCATATTTTAATCACAATTAAGCAAACATTTTGCACTAGTTCTTTAATTTGTAATTTTAAAAGTGACAGAGGAGATCAAATAACAAGGAAAAGTCAAAATTTTGAATATGACCTTGACCTTTGACCTTGGCCTCAATCTCATTTAAATGAACCAAGGAACTCAAATCAATATACCTTAGGTCTCTATCACTTACCATTCATGCTATACATTTATATATCCCTTATGTCAAATACAGAAGGGGAAATAACTCTCATATGGAGTTTACGTATCGCTTCGGTCAAAATTGGACAAAACATCCTGAGGATATAACGAGCAATTTGGTAAAATTAATTTGTCGCTTTCTTTTACGGTTACGGAGGAGATGCGTGCACAAGGAAAACAGTGTTCGGGGTGATAACTCCTACAAAGAAAATTATTTGGTTTCGCAGGGTAAATTTCAAAGGCGCATAAACTGTTCGATATCATATACCAAATATCTAAGCGACATATTGCGAAACAAATATTTATCGCAAGAACAAAATTAGGCGGAAGAAAAAAAAAATATATATAAATCAATTGTTTTAAAAACAATTGTTAAACGGTCTTTCCCCTCCGAAACATGATGCATTGGTTTTTTGCTTGGTTGGTTGGTTGGTTGGTTGGTTGGTCGGTCGGTCGATTGATCGATTGATTGATTGATTGATTGCATGGCACTTTCTCTGTGCGACGCAGCTAACTTAAATAACGCCTATATTCTGACCGAACGTGACTGCGTACTTAGACATCCCGCACAGCCAAACGGACGCCTGAGATGTCCTCATAAAAATTGATCCTAGCATCATTCGTTTATAAATTTTCTCTAGTTTCTATGTACCTCGGACTTCCATTTGTCATTTATTTGTTGTGTATGCATTTTGATTGAATTTGTAGGAAAACGGAATAAATTTTATCTTGGAAGTTTTATTTTCCCTCATTTTGGATATTCAATGTTTTATTCTAAATTTAGGTCCGCGCGCGAGATGGTGTTGTGAAGTCTTGGAAGTTTTATTTTCCCTCATTTGGATATGCAATGTTTTATTCTAAATTTAGGTCCGCGCGCAAGATGGTGTTGTGAAGTCACGTGACCCTCGAATATATATGTCTGGAGTTCAGGGGAGACCGTTGAACAGAGCACATGTGTATTGATCAAAGAAACACGATAACTATTGTTTTTATTTTGTACAGGTCATTGATGTCGGACCATGCATACATATTACGTACACATGTTTAAGGGAGCACAGATTTGTATTTTAATGCATGTTTAGAAATTTGAGTGTAGGATTTCAGTAATACATTGATTTTAATTTCGCAATCAAGCGGACCGCACGTGCCTCATCGATTAATTTCAGAAAATACATGAATTGGAGCAGATTTTTGCAGGGATGGATTTCTATTTCAGAAAGAAATTTGTACATAAGAAGGATTAGCATTTTACAGTATAATGTACGGGACTAAAAGCGATCTTCTTTTCTTTGAAATGGAATAACTTAAAAAAAAATCAGTTGAAAAAAAGGGGGGGGAGTGTAGTGGTAGACTGTGGTTCATTATTGAGATAAGAAACATTTACAACATGATAGCTGCAAAGTTTGAAGTTTTGATAAGTAATTTGTTGATTCGACCATAACAGGGACATTGACCCTGCAATAAAATGACGCGTACCATTTCGACAAAAAATTTCTAGTAAACACGTGTCGCGACAAACTTTTTGGTTAAATTGTTTTGTCGATATCTATAACTCTTTCTAAGAAGAAGCGATATGAACCTAATGTAAAAAATCACAACATGACCTTGACCTTTGACCTTGACCTAGTTTTCTATTCTTTAGGACCAAGGACCTCAAATCAACAGACCCTAGGTCTCTATCACTTATGGTTTACCAGTTACAAATGCATATGACTTATTTCAAATGCATTAGGGGAAATAACTCTCATATGGAGTCTTCGTATCGCTTCCGTCAAAATTGGACAACAAATCCTGAGGATATAGCGAGCCATTTGGTAAAATAAATTTGTCGCTTTCTTTTACGGTTACGGAGGAGATGCAGTCACAAGGAAAACAGTGTTCAGGGAGATAACTCCTACAAAGAAAATTGTTCGGCTTAGAATGGGTGAAAATAAAAAGCGCATAAACTGTATGATACTATATAAGAAATATCTAAGCGACATCTTGCGAAACAAAAATTTTACGCGAGAACAAAATTAGGCGGAAGAAAAAAATAATAATAATAATAATAATCAGAACAAATACAATAGGTCTTTCCACAGAAAAGTGGAAAGACCTAATAATCAGAACAAATACAATAGGTCTTTCCACAGAAAAGTGGAAAGACCTAATAATCAGAACAAAATCAATAGGTCTTTCCACGGAAAGGTGGAAAGACCTAACTAATTGACCAATATTACAGTGAATCATAACTAATACAATGACCAGATAGAAAAATGTATGTTTTTTGTTTGGTTCAGACCTTTTTCAATACCTGATATCCAATATAAGTATATAGTCATTAGACATATTCTCGATCAAAATCAGAGATTGTCAAAAACTTTTTCCCAATGATTTCAATAACGTTTTTCTCATTTTTTTAGATTTTCTGATATAAATATTTCTTTTTCAATTTATCATTGATTTAACAATGTAGTGCGTTTAAACATATGCGTACCCAGTAACTTTAATTTTCTAGTTTTAGTTTAACGAACTATTCACCAACTTAAAACTGTTCAGACTTGGTGTATGACTCAAACATATTTAGTCTATACATTGTTTGATCTTTTGTCAAGCTGGACAGCATTTGGTATCAACTCGGCCGTGAAATACAATAAATATTGATTTTGCAGAAAATTTATTAACCATATCTTTATCAAATATATTTTAACCTGGATTAAAGTTTCCATTCAACAAGAATTTACACTTAGTACTCCAAAGATAAATCAATTTTTTGTAGGTATGGTCCGACGTCTGATACCTATCATTTTGATATCAATTCTTCATACAGGTAAGTGCTGAGAAAAGTACTTCACACGATAAAAAATCAGTTTCATTATGTTGTTCCGGCCTGACTTTTTAAATGTTGTTAGGCATATGCATCCATCAAAATATCATAAAACGGTTTGATATAACTGACGAGATATGTAATTATAAACATTGATGAGACAGCAATCCAAAGCAATTATACCAAAATACGGTAACATACAGTAAAAGAGAGGCGAATGATACCAGAGGGACATTCAAACTCATACGTCGAAATAAACTGACAACGGCATGGCTAAAAATGAAAAAGACCAACAGACTAACAATAGTACACAAAACACAACATAGAAAAACTAAAGACTGAGCAACACGAACCCCACCAAAAACTAAGGGTGATCTCAGGTGTTCCAGAAGGGTAAGCAGATCCTGCTCAACATTTGGCACCCGTCGTGTTGCTCATGTTAGTACAAACCCGGTAATAAGTCTAACTTAGTAGGTCAAATTCGGGAAAAGGGGATGAGATTTTAGTTACTAAATTAGGAACATATCCGTTATGGTGTAATACTATCATTGATTTTCCCCTAGTAGTCTTTGTTTAATTTGCACTTTTCAAAACATTGTGCAGAATTTATCTTTGTTTCAAATAAAGAAATACTTGGCATGATTAAAGTTTTATCCTGTCCAGTTGTATAGACAAAGTTTTACATAACATATCAGTGCATATAAGAAAATAACAATCACTGAAAGTTAACCAAACAAAATTTCATCCCTTTTCTTCCTATGAACAAGCTTTAGTAACCATGTAACCTCAAGTTTCCAAAGTATTCTATAGAAACACCAAATAAAAAAATAATGGTGCTTTGAAACACCCAAGATATATGTTTATGACTCAGAAATGTTTTACTGCAGTGAAACGTAGGATTAATCTCCTACAACTGTCAAATTCAAGGGAATATTTTTTTTCGACCTTTTTCGTACGCAACCGGATGTGACGTACTATGATTTGGTGGTATTACACCTTATCATCTGTGAAACTGATATTCCATAACGGTCAACCAATTCGCGATGGCGTCCGTAAAACTTACGAAGAGATGATTTCAACTTCACCACTTAGTTTAGTAGCTTCCTTGTGAGCAGCAACTTTTTGATTGTCAAGAGTTGACAAATTTACTAATCACAAAAATCAATCAACAGATATTATAGAATAACGAGCGCTTTAACATCAGGTGCTAAATGATATTCGAATATATTTTTTTTTTATATCAACAGTCATTGTTGCTTTAACAAAATATTCATTTTAAGGTCTTGTATAAAAATTAGATTAAATATTCGTTTACATACACCTTTACACCCTTTTCAATTCAAACTCATAAGTCGAAAATAAACTGACAACACCATGGCTAAAAAAGAAAAAGACAAACATACAAACAATAGTACACAAAACGCAACAAAAACTACAAAAAACTAGAAAAATAAAGACTAAGCAACACGAACCCTACCAATAACTAGGGTAGATCTCAGGTCCTCTGGAAGGGTAAGCAGATCCTGCTCCACATGTGGCACCCGTCATGTTATAACATTTACAATATTCAAATCTCAACTTTAAATGTCTTTTTTTTTTATAATTCTTCTCTGCTTTTATTTATAATAATTAGACAAACAACTGTACTATTTATTTTTTTTTTTGTTTTTTTTTTTTTTTTGTTTTGTTTTTTTTCTCTCTTTGGAAATTGGCTTGCAGGATTGCATATTTCGTTAGTGCAGTTTTGCAGAGTTCACTTTCATATTTCATCAACAATGAAAAGTCATTCATGTATAGCACTTTATAGAGCATGGAAAGCAATGTACTTGTTCTATGAAAAATAGAGGGGAAAATAATGATTTTCCATTGGACGAGAATGGTTGAGTATGTTCTAAGTTGTAATAACAATACAAATTACTGTAAAACATAACATAAATCTTCTTAAATCTTTTTTTTAAAAAGGGACATTTATATAACCAAATACCGACCACACACGTGACACATTTAATTTATATTTTTTTTTCATTTATGTAGCAGCAGTGTGGAGCAGTAATTTTCCTTGTTTGACATGGGAAATTTATCAAGACAGATTGAAGTTAATCTGTAGAACAAAATATTTTTCAAAACCTGTTGCATTGATCGATAGTCATGGAAAATTGTTTGCGAACTGCTCATTTACAGCAAATGCTCATTATTGTACTCCTGTTGAAAGAAACGCGTTGATTGAGGTAGACTTTTCAAGAAAATATATTGCCTTTACAATACCAAAATTAGATGACAATGTGAATGGCATTTGGACTTGTTTACAAGATGAAAAGAGATTTACAACACAAGTGTCGTTATCAAAAGGTAAAAACATGACAAAACTTTATCAACGTTAAATCTCTCTCAATTATCATAATTTATAAGAACGCATTATTTTATTCTGTGTACTGATGACTAATTTCAGAAAAATACCATATGTTTACCTCACTTTGTGTAAATAAATGAAACCAATTGACATTAACCAGTAACACTTTTCAAAATGTACTTGCAAAGGGTATTTGGCTACTAAGATTATGGTATAGTATGGTACAAACTAAAATCACAATGTGTGGTGGGGAGATATGATACATTTTAGAAGCTATCAACAAAATAGCACTTAACCGAAAAGTTGAACATTGAAACGTATCCCACACAAATGAATTACGGTATCAGGTTAGCCATAGTAATTTTAGTTATAAGGCATTGACTTTTGGTTTGCAGTGTGTGTAAATAGATACTTTTACTTGAGCAGGTGTGCATTCGATATAATAAAAATAAACACTATTAACCTATAAAAAGGCAAAATCCTTGAAATTACGGGTTGCTTTCCCATATTTATAGATTTCATTAAAGATCACAATAATATAACATGTATTTGGTATTCCAGGTATTATTGGTTCCACAGAAATTCATATTACTGGCACATTGCTTGATACTACAGGACACGATGCAAAACATGCCTTAAACTGTTTTTCGTGTCGCGAACCAGATGGCGATAATGTAGAAATTCTTGTGAATGGTCGAACTGAGGATAGTATCACATATAATCATGATACAGGCAAATGTATTCATCGCAGAGGAAAATGTCATCCTGATGAATGCAATTGCACTTCAAATGAGTTTAAGTTTGTAATCGAATACGAACTAGAAAGTAATGATACCGTATATACGTGTGATATGTTGTTCACTGATTCACTCAACAAAGCAAAATTTTCCATGTTTTCTTCTGTAGTTTTCAATGGAGAAGGTAATCATATACATATATTACTTAACTTCAAAGAATTCATGAAATCACACTTTTATTACGAAATGAATTATCTAAAACTTAAGGTTCTGAGTCATAACTGTATTATGTGATTGTTGTGTAAGTAGACCAAAAATCTACTTTGTAGTATAACGGAACAATAAGGACATAAGATACCAGTGACAACACTATTGCAGATAAAAAACGTACAGCCCTTAAAACATTATTCTAAAAATTGACGATTCAGCAAGACGATACCCACTATAACAAAACTATCAGTACATAGAGAATAATAGCATTTTTGTTTTTGATACTAGCTTTATCAGCAAATTTGAGAATATGAAACAACGTGAAGTAGTTGGTAAAACTATTTTTACGCGTACGAAACGTTGGGATAGTTGTTCGGTTGTATGAATGAAGTCGCTTGCATTTAATTAATAAATTGACGCGTATAGACATGGACACTATACATGACGTCATTGCCTAACATTTACGAGTATGAGTTCATGTACATGATATAAAAAAAAATATCAGGCAGTATAAATCAAAGGAAAATGTACAAATTGCAGATAAATGTAAACTATATAGCCTTTAAACTAAATCGAATTGCCAATTTTGAATGAAAACATGATATTCATAGTACTAAAGGTCAACATGACTGTTATCTAAAGAAACTTCACGGAACAAACAATGAAAAAAGTTTTAAAAAAAGGGTTTCAGTTTCGTTTAAAACAGAAGTAGTGGTTATCTCATGGTATGGTCACAGTAGGATATGATGCTAAAAGTCATGACACACAATCATCACACTAACTTGACAACACGAAAAGCAAACGAACATCGGTTTCATTGATGTTTTAATATTCTAGCTTCATTGAAGATTTTAAGATGGAGTAAAAGCTTGTTAAACCTGCAATTGTAAAGGGTTTCACTATATATCTTTGCTTATTGTCGAAAATGTTTGACCTGTACATTGGAGCACAAGTAGGATTTTTTTTAACTTACATTCTAACTTAGCCTCAAAGATATCAAAAAGACTATCATCTATTGTTTCTGAATCTCAAATAGCAAAAACATCAGCAAAGCACGGGATTCATCAAAATATTGGTTAAATGTCAGGACTGAAAAAAATATGATTACGGGACAAAAAATCCCATCTGCATAAAATTAAAAGATAACACTTTTTAATTTCGGGAATCTGAAAAATTTAGATGCATTCACCTTTATCACGAAAACTTCAATCTAATCATTTGAAAGCCAGGGATGTTTTAATACCTTTAAATGTGAGGATCTTTATGATAAAAAAATATTTAAAAATACATTAAAAGATTGACTATCCAAATTCATCTAAGATCATTATTGCCTGAAGGAGTTAGAACCTTTGTTTCTTATTGAGTTCTTCATTTATCAACGAGAAATGTACAAAACTATGTAATAAACCATGTCAGGACAGGACAACTGAGCTGATGCTACCAACGGGGACTAACAGATATCCAGCAGATATCGACTAATTGAAAGTAATTATACTTAATAAAGTTTGTTCGTTCGAAGCGCTCCCCTTAATTTACTTTCACTAGGAACGCTAAAATATAAAGATTTTAAAGCCAGGAATGTTTAAATACCTAAAACCGTTTTAAGCTATATGACCAAAAGAGACCTGTGCGTACTGTTGTGCGTTTGTTTTTTCTACATTGGCTAGAGGTATAGGGGGAGGGTTGAGATCTCAAAAAACTTGTTTAGCCCCGCCGCATTTTTGCGCCTGTCCCAAGTCAGGAGCCTCTGGACTTTGTTAGTCTTGTATCATTTTTAATTTTAGTTTCTTGTGTATAATTCGGAGTTTAGTATGACGTCCATTATCACTGAACTAGTATACATATTTGTTTAGGGGCCAGCTGAAGGACGCCTCCGGGTGCGGGAGTTTTGCGCTGCATTGAAGACCCATTGGTGGCCTTCGGCTGTTGTCTGCTCTATGGTCGGGTTGTTGTCTCTTTGACACATTCCCCATTTCCATTTTCAATTTTACTGAAAAGAAATAGCAAAATTCATCTATGGGCAACTTTCCTTGAAGAAGTTGGAACCTTAGTTTCTTATTCATTTCTAAAATTATCAACGGGGAATTTAAAAATAGTTTGTTAATCACACATTCCTAGGCAAATTAGTTTTACCGATGTTCAAATCTATCAAAACTACAACGAAGATGCAAATCAAGGTAAACAGAAACTGATGGAATCGTATGCACTCCAATACGAGAGAAACCGGTCGTAGTGTAGGCACAGTATAAGCGTCTCCACCTTTACTTGCACACTCAGTAACACATAATTCAATATCGGGAAAAGAAAACAGTTGGTTAATTCATAAATCATACGTCTATTCTTGCATCTACACGGTATACCAGTTCGTGATGGAGCATCATACCAAAGGGACATTCATAAGTAGACGAAAATTGACAATGCAATGGCAAGAAAAGTATACAACTAAGACACAAACAACAGCCCAGAAAACACCACATACTAAACAACATAAACCATATCAAAAACCGTGGTGAGATCACATACGTTTTTAATGGAGTTTGTGTAATAAACGTACACACCAAAAGAGAAACAGTAATGAAGTACAAATACGGGAAGTTATATAAAGAGTAAATAAGCCATACAAATATATATATATACATTTGTATATAAATTCAGGAAAAAATATAAGTACGAGAACACGTGTTGTTTTTATAAATGTCTTCGTCAACTCAAACTTTAAGGTAAAATGTTTATTTAACAAAAATATTCCTGCTTGGTACAGGCATTTCAACGTCCCCATACATACAATATAAAATTATTAATTTTGGATGCAATAATATTTGCTTTAAATAACTTTATTATTGTGTACTTTAACACAATGATATATATATTTAATTCGTCTCAAATTTAACCCAATAGAGTAATCTAGGGCGCTGGACACGGTGCAGGCGGTGTTGCAACGTTGTCACAGAAGCAAGGGTTCGAATCCCGCTGAGGGAAGAACAAAAATTTGCTAACGCAAATTTGAAGATCTAACATTGTTGGGCTAAATTTGAGACGAATTATATAAATATTATGGTGTAATCCCTGTATAACCACGTGTTATCCGATGGAGAATGTCTGTCATAAAGTTGTCATATGATAACTTTTTGTACTTATTTAGGATTTTCCGACGAAACCACAACTGTCTCCATAATCAAAGCTGGTGATAAGATATGGAATGATATAATCACAGTTGTAGTCAAGGAAATTTCTACAGGTTAGAATCTATATCAAGACAAAAATGATTCAAAATAATTCAAGCAGACTTTATTCTGATCACTAAGTGTGTTTATTATTTCAGTTTTGTGCAATATATCATTCCTGGGTACACTCCTTGATTTCATATTTTGTTTAACATATACTTCTAGACTTTTCATTCTATGTTCTACTCAACGTACTACTGCATTTATCGTCGTAATAGGTACAAAATGTTCTCATTTGTAGTTGTTTGCACGTCAGGAATGCTTCACGTTAAGGTGTATGCATTGATTATTTCATGAACATACATAAAGCTTCTATCATCCGTCAAATCTAAAACGAGACAAATCAAACCTGATAAAACACTCTGAAAACAAAATGTTCAATTTAACTGACATCATCTAGATATTGCATGTTTTTCAAAATATATTTGTTTTTTCGAATAGGCATTCTATGAAAACCAAATATGTACCTCTGCAAGCTGACTTGCTGTTTTATTCTTTTTCGAGATAGACCTCATACAGGAGCTTCTCAAAAACTTCAAACAGAAAAGAAGTTGCATAAACTTTAAAAGACCAAACAGCCTATTCATTTCTACCTGTAATTTTTAACATTTTGTGGGAAGGTATTTCATGATTTTGGAAAAATTATATAATGAAAATAATTTGGGGACACCAACTTCGTTTGACCACTATAGCAAACCAGTTTCGTGTTTTCCCACATATAAACATTATTTGATTGTTATTTAAAATTTCATATAATCCAATCTTATCGACCATACAAGCCTAGTTCATGTTTTCACGTTACACAGTAGATTTGTATCTATCAGTTAAAAATTCTAAAATTAAAGATTCTTCGAGTTTTGTTTTTAAAAAGTGTGCTTTAGTTCATTACCGCCGAAAAAATTATTATTGATGCGCAATGATTAGAAACACTGTATTGGCAGTATTTGGCCACAGCTTTATTATAAAATTATAAACACATATAACTAGGTAAACAATTAAGATATATATGTGTATAGTAAATAGATATTTGAATGGACGTAGTCACCTTTCATATTGGCAAAATACGACACGATAACTAGATAACTAACTAGATAAACAATTAAGATATATATATAGTAAATAGATAATTAATTGAACGTAGTCACCTTTCATATTGGCAAACTACAAAAAGATAACTAGATAACTAATTATTTACAATAAATGAAGCATCCAATTAAATGAATCCTGCAGGGAAACAGAGATTCGTAAATTTTTGTGTGGTGGTCCTGGGATACAGAGACCCACACTATCAAATGTTTTGAATGCTAAATAAAATATGACGCCAAATGACGCATATTTAAAGGAAACGCAGCGAAATGTGCCCATAACTAAATATCTCTACGGAATGTTCATATAAACAGGCACAAACAAAAATTGTTCTTACATGATACGAACGAAGTCACAGATTACTGGATTTATAAATGTCTAAAAATACAGTCTAAAAACACAACACACATTGAGATGGCATAGCTATACTAGCAAACTACGGACAAATACACTGTAGATAATTAACTGATGTTCCACATATACTGCTTAGTTGACGGTTCATCCGATCGGTTGTACAAGGATCATCCTGAAAAATATATTAAAGATACAGCAAAAATATGTTCATGATATATTATGCTAGGTAGTATAAGACATAGTTGTGGGTGGGTGGGTCTTTCAATCACCAAATAATATTCCGTCTATTTCTGTCAAATGTCGGAATGAAAAAGATCGTGTGCGCAGTCATATTGCGCATTGACAAACATACATATGATAGCCTACATTTAATAGAGGTGACACGGCTAATAACACAAGTAATCTATGCTTACACTAATAACCGAATGTATGCTGAATCATAAATTCTAATATTATTGATGCGCAATGATTAGAAACACTGTATTGGCAGTATTTGGCCACAGCTTTATTATAAAATTATAAACACATATAACTAGGTAAACAATTAAGATATATATGTGTATAGTAAATAGATATTTGAATGGACGTAGTCACCTTTCGTATTGGCAAACTACGACACGATAACTAGATAACTAACTAGATAAACAATTTAGATATATATATAGTAAATAGATAATTAATTGAACGTAGTCACCTTTCATATTGGCAAACTACAAAAAGATAACTAGATAACTAATTATTTACAATAAATGAAGCATCCAATTAAATGAATCCTGGGAAACAGAGATTCGTAAATTTTTGTGTGGTGGTCCTGGGATACAGAGACCCACAATATCAAATGTTTTGGATGCTAAATGAAATATGACGCCAAATGACGCATATTTAAAGGAAACGCAGCGAAATGTGCCAAATTGACCAAGACTGTCGGGTCAACCGCCATTAAAAGCGGATAGAGCTGCGTAGAAGCTGTGTGCCAAATACAAAAAAAAACAAATATTAAAGACTCATAAATCTAAACCCTAACGATAACTGAATTCTAATGAATATCAAGCAATTTCTTAATACACATTGTGGAAAGAATGTGGAGTGTAGACAAGAAAGGCCTCTTCCGCCCCTTGAAATGTGATAAGCAAAATGTATTACCAATATGAGTCAAATGTACACCATCTTGGCATTTAAATATGGAATTGGGAGATACATCGGAGTAGAGTATGTATTGATTGGAATATCCCCCTTGACGAATGATAAAACTAGCCAGCCATCTGATTATCCTCTTTCTGGTTCTTATCATTGTTTCTGTTTCTGCGGAATAATATCATGTTTATTTGGCAAACTTAAGACCACAACAATCTGATATTCAGTAAAAGAACAGAAACTATATTCACAGTATTTTTACTCATCTTATATGTAATAGACCTGTCGTAGTGTCAACTCAATCATTTCCGCCTATCTGCCTATGTGTAAAATCAGAGATATTGAAAACCGAATTCCAGTTTTATCTTGTACAAGATGAATGCCACCTGGTATATTCCGAGCTTGAATAAATTCGTGTTTTACAAAGGTGGAAACCACAATCCCAATGGTTACTGGCGAACCTGCTAATCTTACATAACGGTTAGTATTACTAAAGTGATTGCAAGTTCTAAACATAAAATTATAAAAAATGCAAATAGTTATACACATTGTTGTATTTGAATATATGAACGAAATGACTTAGACTTCCATCTACACATTGCCTGAGTTTTAGAATCAGGTCAACCATTTATGGCAGCTCTGTAGCAGTGCCTTTCCTGAAGAAATGAGAACTATGTATTCCTTGACTTAGTCCGAAAATATTTAGTGACTTTTAGTGACTCCTAAACTGATATCTAGAGAAAGGAGTTCTATCAAACCAAGCATTCTGAGAGTAATGCATTGCAATACATAGTCACTACAGGTTAATAATTCATTGTACTGGAACAAAATATTAACTTGATCTATAACTTGCCATGGTGGAAGCCATATAACAAATATCAAGTCAATATATTCAAGCATGACGAAAAAAAAATGTGGAAAACTGATTATTAAGTAAATTTTTATTAAGTCCAGGGACCATAACTCTGCACAAAATCATCAAACCGGAACAAAACTCGAAACTTGAGCTGTAACTTGTCATGATAAAACTATATACCAATTATTAAATCAATATCTTCAAGCATGACAAAATAAAATTGAGGAAAACTGATAATGTCTGTGAATTTATAGAATATTAAGTTCAAGGACCAAAACTCAGCACAGAAATCATCAGACCGGAACAAAATTTGAACTTGATCTGTAACTTTTCAAGATGAAACTATATACCAATTATCAAATCAACATCTTCAAGCATAAAAAAACATGAGAAAAACTTATTATTTGAGTGAATTTCTTAGTCGTAGGACCATAACTTTGCACAAAATCATCAGACTGGAACAAAATTCGATTTTGATCTGTAACGTGTCATGATAAAACTATGTACCAATTATTAAAACAATATCTTAAAGAATGACGAAAAAATGTGCGGAAAACTGATTATTTAAGTGAATTTTCTAAGCCCAAGAACCATAACTTTGCACAAAATCATCATACTGGAACACAATTCGAACTTGATCTGTAACTTGTCATGAATAAACTATATACCAATTATCAAATCAATATCTTCAAGTATGACGAAAAAATGTGCGGAAAACTGATTATTTAAGTGAATTTTCTTAGTCCAAGGACCATAACTTTGCACAAAATCATCATACTGGAACACAATTCGAACGTTATCTGTAACTTGTCATGATAAAACTATATACCAATTATCAAATCAATATCTTCAAGTATGATGAAAAAATGTGCGGAAAACTGATTATTTGAGTGCATTTGACCATAACTCTGCACAAAATCATCAGACCGGAACAACATTCATACTTGATCTGTAACTTGTCATGATAAAACAATTCACAAAATATCAAATCAATATCTTTAAGCACGAAAACAAAAATGTGGAAAACTGATTTGCCGGATTGACGGATGGACAGACAGACAGACAAACATAGTGAGAACCTTAAGTCCCCTTCAACTCCTCCGGTAGGGGACTTATAACAAAGCAATTGACCAGCGACAGGTCTAAACTTTGTATGTTATTTCGTTTAAGTAAAAATAGGATAAACATCTCTAGGCCGCTCATCAATAACATGTGTGGTTCCTTTGCAGCACTGGTCAGTCTTAGATAAAATTAAATGGAGTTCAATACTATATATATTTGTCTTGATATCTGGCGAGATGGTAATATTATTTGTAATTTAGTTCATTTGTTAGAATAATTATTATTATTATTTTTTTTTTTTTTATTTTTTTTTAGTATTAATCATTAGGGTAGAGATCGTTTGCACACTTACGCAAGTTACTTTAACAAACTTGATCACCAAAAGTTTTAATGTTTGAAAAGATTATCGTCTGCAAATTGTTGACATGAATTTACAATCTCAGAGAGTTAACGGTTTCCTTACATTTTATATATATCATCTCTAAGGTCAAGAAAAGTTCAAATCGTAGTCGGCATCGCAGC